TTGTGCATTATGTAATATAATTTAGCATTTGAAGGTATAAAATAAGTGTAACTAAATATATTCTTAATTTGAAAATGCATTTCTTTCATATTTAGCGTATGTTCAAAACATACTTTGGCCAGTATATACTACTACTACTAAAATTATTTATATTTATTTGATTGATTGATTGATTGCCATGTGAGGTGGAAAAGAGCCAAATATGGCGTTTAATTGTATCAGAAGCTCTGTCTTTGCTTAAGCTGCACAGCACTGATGACTCTGAATATCTTCTTTATATCTGATTTGTTTCCACACAGGAACTCTCCCCAACATCACGAGGAATGCTCTGGTCAACTGCACTGAACTGGTGTCCTACGATCTCATCAAGGAAGCCATTCTCAAACATAAACTCATGTCAGGTATGAAAACTCACGGCAGGGCTCACAATCAGAAACCTAAACAACTCAGTTAGAGATTTCAATAAACAGGACGAGCCGTTTCTGACTGTTCATGTTTCCAGTCTCAGTTCTATTTAGCATTTTTATTAGGTAGAAACCAGAATCATTAAATACATAAAACATGATTTCAGCAAACAGTGTTTCCCAAAATCAAAACATATGCCAGCGTATGACGGAGCCTCTAAATCAGGCCAGGAGTCCATGAGGAGACGCAGCTGAAGCGTCCCGCACCGCTAATAACCAGTGTGAAACATGCTAGAATGAACCAGCACAAACCACTTTCACCAGATAAGATAGTACTGGTGATCAGGTCAGGTCTTGCTGTCTCATTCATGCCATCAGCACTTTTGTAGTGAAGGGCCTGTAAAATTAGGGCAAAGGTGTGATGAGGTTTACACACACACACACACACACACACAGAGAGAACAAAGTGTGTCTGACACCATCAAAACCAGTGTTGATACTGTTAACTGACACCAATAAAACTCAGTGTTATTGCTGTAATAAAGTAAAATATAAATATTAGATGAAATTAGAAATGTTCCCTTTGGCAAATAACTGAAATAAGTTGAAGTTTTAAAATTACTAAAACTGAAATAAAAATACATAAAAGATAAGTAGAAATAAAATAGAAAAAAATGAAATGTGATAACAAAAGCGCATAATAAAATTACTAAAACCTAAACTAAAATGAAAATAAAAACAGAAGATATATGAGTAAAACCTAATCAGAATTTTAGTAAATACTAGTAGTATATTAATAATACACCGAACAAATAATTTGCATACAGGACAAAATGAATACCCAAAAAAAAAACAAAAAAAAAACATTTCCGATGGAAGAAAAAAGGCAACTATTTAATTAACTGAATAAAATATAGAAGATAAATTAAGACTTCAAGACAAAATAACAATATATTTGAAGTATTATAATTATATATATTTATATAAAAAAATATTTAAAAAATAAATAAAATGACAAAAGCACATAAATGACTAAAATTAAAACTGAAAATGAAAAAATTATATACAAAATATTAATGAATACTATAATAGTATATAAATACTACAAAAAATAACTTTTTAATTTGTAAATAAAACAATTCCATTTTAGATGGAAGAACAATAGGTGACTATTTAATTAACTGAATAAAATCTTCAAGACAAAAGACAAAATGACAATATATTTAATGTTTTTCTTTTTATTTAATATTTAGTGATAGACAGACAGACAGACGGAGAGACAGACAGACAGACAGACAGACAGACAGACAGACAGACAGACAGACAGACAGACAGACAGACAGAGACCGACAGAAACACAGACAGAAAAAGAGACAGACAGACAGAGAGAAAGACAGACAGACAGAAAGACAGACAGACAGACAGACAGAGAGAAACACACACAGACAGACAGACAGACAGACAGAGAGAAACACAGACAGACAGACAGAGAGAGAGAAAGACAGACAGAGAGAAACACAGACAGACAGAAAGACAGAGAGAAACAGACAGACAGAGAGAAACACAGACAGACGGAAAGAGAGAAAGACAGACCGACAGAGAGAAACAGACAGACAGACAGAGAGAAACAGACAGACGGACAGAGAGAAACAGACAGACATACAGAGAGAAAGACAGACAGACAGGGAGAAACACAGACAGACAGACAGGGAGAAACACAGACAGACAGAAAGACAGACAGACAGAGAGAAACACAGACAGACGGAAAGAGAGAAAGACAGACCGACAGAGAGAAACAGACAGACAGACAGAGAGAAACAGACAGAAGCGCCACATACTTCATGATAAATCATTAATTAATGCTCTTAAATAAATCATACTCTCATAACGCGTCACACCTGAAATGGTCTCTGACTAACAGCCGAAACGTTCCTGTGGTTCTCCTTCAGGTTCGTTCCATCTTTCCTGCGGCTGGGCTCCTGGAACGTGGTGATGTTTGTGTCGTTCGAGCAGCTCAAGCGGGCCATGATGATGTCCAGGAGCAGAGTCGAGGCCACCACGTAGATCTTCCCCTCCAACTGAAATCAAGCACACAGACTCACATGAGCAGCTGTTTCAAATTCCTCTGACAGGACGATGACGAGAACAGGTGTAACTTCCAGTTTCACGCTTCCGCTTTGGAAGTTAAACAGGCAACATTACAGGATGCATCTGTCATCCTTTCTCTTTCAGGGTAAACCACTATAAAAACCGCTGCCCAATACAACCATTGATCACACAATGCACAAATCTTCTGAACCTCAGACCCTTTATATGTTAATGTACATAATGTTTATGTAATATTTATATTTCCTCATTTTTTAAAAGCAATTAGAGCTTTGTTTAAAGCAACTATTTACCTTAATGTCCATTTAACCCTAAAGATCCAACAAGTAACCCTGGAATGACCTAGAAAGTGTTGCCTCATTACTGGAAACCTAAAAAGACAAAGATAAGCACATATGCTTCAATAAACACCTTTATACAACTTTCGGATGTCTTTGTGGTGACTGTGGACTTATGTTAACTTTGTGAAATGAGTTGCATAGCTCTTTAAAAAAATGGTATCATGCATTAATCACGTAGATGTTCATTAAAAAATAAAACTCAATTCTATAAACCTGATTTTGACATGCAATGCATTGTATTTTGCTTATGCATGCAGATTTTTTTTACCATATTAAGTTGTGGTACTTTGAGGAATGAGTGATATGCGTCTCTCTTCAAAAAAAAAAAAAACTTTAAATCATGACGCAAAAGGAAATGTAAGGAACAGGTACAAATGAGTTACTTAAATATTTATGGTGTCATGCAAAAAATCATGATCATTTAAAAAAACTAAATTGCTATTATGCATGTAAATGTTACGACCATATTTGTTGACAGACTGCAATGAATATGTTTTTAAAAATTAATATACAGTATGAGTTTTCAAATTATTACTGCCTAGTAAAGGCAAAAAGATGAATAAAAATGATTAAACGCGACCCGTTATAACATGGAAGACAAGAAAAGCTGCATTAACTAAACTGAATTACCCAAAAAATGTAATTCAATTTTAAAAACTTCTATTAATTCTTATTGCCAAACCACCAATGAAAAGACACAAACTTTGTATTTGAATATTCAGTCACTAATTTTATTCTTCAACATTAGATATGAATCCAACACTATAAAATTAATCGGGTCATCAGGAATAAAAAATTACATCTTCAAAACCAAACAACGTTTATAAATAAGACAACGACACAGTGTCACATCAACGTTTGTGCATACAAATGCTGTCCTTTGGAATTGAGTTGAGGTCTGAATAACAATATTCACAAAACAGATTAGATATTAAATACTCGCTGCAGGCCACATCGAAGAATTGTGCAGCCGATGACGGGTGCGGGTTTAATACAACTTAAACACTTTAACATACAAAGGGGTTGAATCATCTGCATACAGAAGAAACAACAACTTCCTAACATCTTATGAACATCATCTTCCTGAGATGGGTAAAGATGAAGGAGGAGGAGTCACGTGACCACGACCAAAACGTTCAAGTGTGAAGGGACTCCAATCTGTTCATTGGAGAGTTTAAAATATCACTTTGAAAGTATTATTAATAATACTTAGTGTAAGTCTTTTCCCTGACCAGGTCAATGTAGCTAAACAACCAGCTATGCACCCTTGATGTACAGTTTATACAGCTGTTTAATTATTAATATTCAAATAAAGCTTCATGCACGTTGTACATTTCCTAACTTAAAAACTATCATGAAGTTAATGGAAAAAGAAGAGAAAATTAACTGTTGCGGTTTCCTTTTGTCTGTGAAATTATGCTGGAATCACTTTTCTTGGTCCACGGTCATGAGAAGCGTGACCTCAGGCATCTGAAGTTGACCTTTGACCTTGTCGTGGAACTTCTCCCTGTAGCGATTGAACTCCATGATGCTCTCCGGCTCCTCTTCCAACCAGAACTTATCAAACTCAAACGCCAGGTAACCTGCCAGCACGAAACACATCAACATAAGTGAGCGTATCTCCAAGAAAAGAACAATCATTACATTTTACAAGCAAGCATGGAACTTTAAATGCAATATTTACAGTAATATAAAAAAAAAAAAAAATTTTAAGTTTAAATCCGCCATGACGCAAAAGGAAATGTAAGGAACAGGTACAAATGAGTTACTTAAATATTTATGGTGTCATGCAAAAAATCATGATCATTTAAAAAAACTAAATTGCTATTATGCATGTAAATGTTACGACCATATTTGTTGACAGACTGCAATGAATATGTTTTTAAAAATTAATATACAGTATGAGTTTTCAAATTATTACTGCCTAGTAAAGGCAAAAAGATGAATAAAAATGATTAAACGCGACCCGTTATAACATGGAAGACAAGAAAAGCTGCATTAACTAAACTGAATTACCCAAAAAATGTAATTCAATTTTAAAAACTTCTATTAATTCTTATTGCCAAACCACCAATGAAAAGACACAAACTTTGTATTTGAATATTCAGTCACTAATTTTATTCTTCAACATTAGATATGAATCCAACACTATAAAATTAATCGGGTCATCAGGAATAAAAAATTACATCTTCAAAACCAAACAACGTTTATAAATAAGACAACGACACAGTGTCACATCAACGTTTGTGCATACAAATGCTGTCCTTTGGAATTGAGTTGAGGTCTGAATAACAATATTCACAAAACAGATTAGATATTAAATACTCGCTGCAGGCCACATCGAAGAATTGTGCAGCCGATGACGGGTGCGGGTTTAATACAACTTAAACACTTTAACATACAAAGGGGTTGAATCATCTGCATACAGAAGAAACAACAACTTCCTAACATCTTATGAACATCATCTTCCTGAGATGGGTAAAGATGAAGGAGGAGGAGTCACGTGACCACGACCAAAACGTTCAAGTGTGAAGGGACTCCAATCTGTTCATTGGAGAGTTTAAAATATCACTTTGAAAGTATTATTAATAATACTTAGTGTAAGTCTTTTCCCTGACCAGGTCAATGTAGCTAAACAACCAGCTATGCACCCTTGATGTACAGTTTATACAGCTGTTTAATTATTAATATTCAAATAAAGCTTCATGCACGTTGTACATTTCCTAACTTAAAAACTATCATGAAGTTAATGGAAAAAGAAGAGAAAATTAACTGTTGCGGTTTCCTTTTGTCTGTGAAATTATGCTGGAATCACTTTTCTTGGTCCACGGTCATGAGAAGCGTGACCTCAGGCATCTGAAGTTGACCTTTGACCTTGTCGTGGAACTTCTCCCTGTAGCGATTGAACTCCATGATGCTCTCCGGCTCCTCTTCCAACCAGAACTTATCAAACTCAAACGCCAGGTAACCTGCCAGCACGAAACACATCAACATAAGTGAGCGTATCTCCAAGAAAAGAACAATCATTACATTTTACAAGCAAGCATGGAACTTTAAATGTAATATTTACAGTAATATAAAAAAAAAAAAAAATTTTAAGTTTAAATCCGCAAAAATGCAGTACAACAAACGTTTTTATTATGCTGACTAAAATAAATATACTAAAAATAAATTTCAACTTTTATACTTTTTATTTATACTTAAATACTGCACATTTAATTTTAATAATACATGTACTTAATAATTCAACAATAAACAATATATTAAATAAAATATAAATATATATACATAATTATTATTAAGATTATTATAAATATAATATATATTTGAAATACTTTTATATTAATAATGTATTTAGTAATTATTGTTTTTTTCTACATTAGAAATAATATAATAAACTGGGTTAAACATCTTTATTGTCCTAAACTTTGCCTTGATTTTCTTTAATCAAAATGGGATTTTTTTGTTTTTTTTATTAATTTATTTTGGAATTGAATATGATCAGACCACGATCTAGACAGGTTTTGTGAGACTCACTGCTCTTGATATACATTGCTCAAAAAAATAAATAATCTCAAATTAAATAGATTGTATTTATATTTTTTTTGTGTGTGCATGTATATATATATATATATATATAGAATTATTTAATTATTTTTACTCACAGTAGAACTGATGGAAGTGCTGCATTTGGGGTTTTCCAGGTACTGTGTTATAGAAATGAGGCTTCAGAGCATCATTCTTCATTAAGCTGTATGCCATCTCTGTCAGATTGATGCCCACTATGGCATACGAGTACCTGCAATGACACGAAGCATGCTATGATGACGAGCAACTTTAATCAGTTATGATGGCGAGAGTCATCAGTGGGGACTCACCCTAGTCTGGGGTGATTCGCGTGTGACAGAACCTGCCGGGCTGCGTCTGTGTAATTCTCACTGAAAAAACTGGGCAAACGAAGAAAACCGTCAACTTAAAAGCATTAGGGAAGCAATGAAACGTCATCTTCTCATAAGCAGAGAAGCTGCACTTACAGGAGGTTTGCGAGGCCCAGCATCCCCATCCCTCTGAAATCAGTCTTGGGATCGTCGCCCTGGAAACCAATGTTTCCCCACTGCTTAGTGATCCTCGATTCCAGCTTCACTGACGGCATTAACAGATCCCACAACTGACAGAAAACAAACACAAACCAGTCAGAACTGAGAACCTCTGAAGCTCAAATGTGACCCTGGAGCACAAAAGCAGTGTTAAGTCGCTGGGGTATATTTGTAGCAATAGCCAACAATACATTGTATGGGTCAAAATTATAGATTTTTCTTTTATCTTTGCCAAAAATCATTAGGATATTAAGTAAAGATCATGTTGCATGAAGATATTTTGTAAATTTCCTACTGTAAATATATTAAAACTTAATGTGCCCATAATCCAAGAGGGCGCAAGTGAGCGCTGATTTGTATTTATTTATTTTTAGTGACAAATCACTTTCTGATTTCAAATCACTGTGCCATTTCATGTTCTCCAACACTGTCAAAGATACATATATTTATTAATTTAGAGTAGGTTACAGTTCGCACTAACTTACCTGACAAACACAACGTGAACTGTTTAGAGTGCACTATAAAGTGAGGTTTTAGTTATAAACCTATGTATGAATGAATACACACACACACACACACACACACACACAGTAGTCTATGATGCCGGTGTGTCATATATACATACGCTTATCTGGGGGAAACTGCGAATTTACAAGTTTCCTAATTTGAATTTTCAAGCATTTTTCCGTTTTTCATATAGATTACACTTACAAAAAGCAATTAAATTTGCTAGACATAAGTAAAATTAATTTAATTTACCTCGCGTCGCGGAAGCAATGTGCGAGACTTCCGTTAACGGCTAGTAAACAGAGTTTATAGTTTAATTATGCAATAGATTTTTATATTTTTAGGGGTCATTTTTTCTGTTTAGTTCTCAACGTGGTAGATGCTTAAGGTAATTCATGCTTGTGAGATGTCATGGCTGGTAAAACGGTAAAACCGTGCTACAAACCGGTTTATGATTACGATAATAAATTAAAATATGATAAATACCAGTGAGCAACATCTAGCAGAATAACGGGTAAAAAAAAGTAGGGACTGACACCGGAAGCCTCGCACATTCCCGCGTACTTTAAAAAAAAAAAAAAAAGTTTTCATTTTTAAAGGGGTCATATGATGCGATTTCAAGTTTTCTTTTCTCTTTGGAGTGTTACAAGCTGATTGTGCATAGATAAGATCCCTGAAGTTGCAAAGACTAAAGTCTCAAAACCAAAGAGATATTCTTTATCAAAGTTAAGACTCTGCCACGCCCCCCTAAAACGCCTCGTTCTAACACGCCCCCGCATATCTACCTCACTATGTGGAAATATTAGCATAATGCCGCCCAAATGTGCACGCAAAGAAAGAAGGTGTGGTTTCAGTAACCGCAGTTAGTGTTGAAGCAGCATGTCAGAGAGACGCTGTGTGTTTCAGTGCGAAAGCAAAAGCACTTTATTTGGCCTTCCGAAAGTAGATGCATTTAGGAATCTTTAAGATTACTTACAACAGAACAGCAATGCATTTTATGGACGACCGTTTCGTGAACCTAGGAGAGGAGGTAATTCTGACTTTGCTATGACAATCTGACGCTTCTGAATCAGCTACTGTTTTGTTATTAGTTTAAGTATTTGCTATTGACTGTTCAAATGCGGAGTTTTGCGCATCGTGTGTGTGTGTGTGCGTGTGCGTGTGCGGGTGCGTGCGTGGGAGAGAGAGGGTGCGAGA